GTTTACCAGAAAAAGAAAATCCCATTAAACTTTGCAAGCAAGAGATATTGTTATATGCATAAGTTTGTGTATGTGATTGCAACCTAATCATTGTAGTACACATTACTAGTCTCCCTAAAATAGTATCTAAGCATTTGTATCTCACAAATCAGATTCTGATAATTTAATCAGTCCATCGCCAACACAGGACAACCAAGGGCTCAGGCCCAGCCAGCATGGGTTTAGGAAAGGCATACTTGACCAAATTCATCTTTTATGACCAGATAGCCCACCTAGCGGATGGGAGAAAGGCTGTGGAGGTGTCTACCTGGACTTCAGCAAAGCCTTTGATACTGTCTCCCAACAAATTCTCCTGTAGAAGCTGGCAGCCCACGGCTTGGACAGATGCAGTCTTTGCTGGGTTAAGAACTGACTGGATGGCTGGGCCAAGAGAGATGCGGTGAGTGGTGCACATCCAGTTGGTGGGTGGTCACTAGAGGGGTTCCCTGAGGCTCAGTATTGGGCCCAGCCCTGTTTATTAATGGTCTGGATGAGGGAATCAAATGCACTCAAAATTGTCCACTCATGGACAACACTAAGTTGTTGGGCAGGAGTGTATGATCTGTTGGACAGTGGAAAGGCTCTGCAGAGGGATTTGGACAGGTTGGATTGATGGGCCAAGGCCAACTGTATGAGGTTCAAGAAGGCAAACTACCAGGTCCAGCATTTGGATCACAGCAACCCCATGGAACTCTACAGGCTGGGGGAAGAGTGGCTGGAAAGCTGCCTAGGAGTAAAGGATGTGGGGGTGTAAGTCAACAGCTGGCTGTAAATGCATTTTTCAATGTGCCCAGATAGCCAAGAAGGCCAATGGTATCGTGACCTGTATTAGCAATAGTATGACCAGCAGGACTAGGGAAGTGATTGCCATCCTGGACTTGGAACTGTTGAGTACTTGTGTACTGTGTCCAATTCTGAGCACCTCAATTCAAGAAAGCCATTGAGGTGCTGGAGTGTGTCAGAGAAGAGCAAAAAAGGTGCTGAAGAGTTTAGAGCATAGTCCATGGAGGAGCAGCTGAGGGAGCTGGGTTGTTCAGTGTGAAAAAAAGGCTTAGGGGGACCTTTATTGTGCTCTACAACTGCCTGAAAGGAAGTTGTAGCAAGGTGGGGTCAGCGTTTTTTCTCCCAGGCAACTAGCAACAGGACAAGAGGACATAGCCTTGGGCTGTGCCAGGGGAGGATTAGATTGGACATAAGAAGAATTTTTTCATGGAAAGGGTTGTTGAGGATCAGAATAGGCTGCACAAGGAGGCAGTAGTATCATCAATCCCTGGAGGCATTCAAGCAAATATTGGATCTGGCACTTAATGCCATGGCCTAGTTGACAAGGTGGGGATTTGTAAAAACTGGACTTGATGATCTTGGAGGTCTTTTCTGACTTAAATGATTCTGTGAAGTCTAAACAACCAGAAAATTTGGACATCTTTAATGTTAAACCAAAATTTTGGTAACATTTTCACTTTAAGCATGAATAGTTACAAGAAACATTGAATTCTTCTGAAAACATCTTATCTATTAATTTCTTTCAGATATAGCATTGTTTCTTTCTGCAGAACCTTGTCCTTAAGAAACTCACCTAATATAGTGCCTTGTTACCTGACCTGACTACAGCCCCAAATTCTCAAATCTAAAACAAGTAGTACTCAGCTCCATTCCCTTGGAAGGGCACTTCACATGGGAAATTTACTCAGCCCAGATGGTAAATTCATTCCAGTGACACTGACACACAAATTCTATTGTTATTCTAAAAGGCATTTTATTATACTGTTGTAAGACTCTCAAAGTAGAAAGAGAAAGCCTGAAATACTATGTTTCATCAGAGCACTTATGCAGGAGTTACAAGTTTCAATGTCTTCATCAAAGTCCAGGTAACTGTGCAACTGTATACATTACTGTTCATCAGAAGGAAGATTTAACATGGTCTTCAGAACTAGAAATGAATATCCATTCCCCTAAGGAACATGCACAAACTACAAGGAAGACAATAGTGAAAAAGCAACTGGATAAATTGTAAGCCAGAGGAAGTTTCAAGTAGACTAGAAGTGTAAGCTGACAAAAATAGGGCAGGAGATCTTTCTCCTTTTCAATGCCTTTATTAAAGAGATTCAGCTCAGGTGGGGAGAAATTGACGGGTCGCGCCCACGCCACCGCTGTCCCCAAGAGTGGCACGGAGGAGGAGGAGGGTGATGCAGCTCTGTCCGCTGGTCTGCAGGCAGAGCTGGGGACTGCGTCCTCACGGAAGAGTGGCAGATTCCTACTTTTCGGTCCAACACTTCGGGTCCCCTCCTTAGTGAACATCCTTTTAGGTCAGGGTGAGAAGCAAAAAGGATCCAAGCAGGCACTGGACTTCACGCCCATCCTTAGACATCACCTAGGGTCCCCTAATTCTATATTGGCTCGTTGTTTTTAGGGGTTTTCTAGGAAAACTTTAGCGCGGTGCATTTCTCATTTGCATACGTGGTCCCAGGCCACTCCTATTCTCCTGGGCTGCGTGTCCAGGTGTAGCTCCGGGGCAAGCATTGGGAGAACAATGGCTAAATCACCAACCATTAACGGGCAATTAAAGAACTCTTTACAATTAAGCTAATTTAACAGCAACTGGTCCCACCGTTTTTTTTTTCTCTGTAACCTTAAATAAAAATAGGTATATTTTTATTCATAACATAAGCAGCAGCATGTAGTGAATAAAGTCCAACACGATAAGCTGAATAGAAAAAAAAAATCACAAACTAATGTCGTTATAGAGCCCCACTTGGCACAAAGCACCAGGACTCCATCAGAAGGCTGTATAGATCTATTTATTAAAGCAACATGTTGCCTTTATAGTTTTACAAGATATTTACATTTGCTTAACAAACACATACACTGCCCATTAGTCATAAAAAGGAAACAATAGGTGAAAAGGAGCCATGTCACTCTGTGAGCCAACCAAAGTCCCTATCTTTTTATTTTTTCTCTTTCTTCACATTGTCATGGTGATAGCCTTGGTATCTTCCTTAAGAGATACAGGAGGCTTTCCTTATCTTCAGGAAGCCTTCGCTGGCTCACAAGAACAGAAATGTCTTTCCTACAAACTAATTTGCACTTTGTGCAACCATCTGTCCTGTCTGCTGAGTGATAAATACTGAGTGATTTCTATGTACCTCAAATGGTGACACAGCGTGGCACAATACAGTGTGAAAAGGACATACTACATGACTGGCTCTTCGCAGATATTAAAAGGAATACTATATGTGTTACGTTGTATTCATTAGTAGTACTGTATTTTTTTTAAGTAGTGTGGTAAATTTAGTTTAGGTTATAACATAATGTTAAAATAGAAACTATGCAATGTAAGATACTTTTTTAACTAGCTCAAGAAAGGGATGAGATAATCAAGAAATTCTTTGCACTGAGATAACAGCAGCAAGACACCTAAATCCCCAAGAGAAAAATTATTGCCTCCTTATCAGAAAAGACAAACTTCCTTCCACCACCTTCCCGACTTTGCGGAGCCAACAGGATTAAGGGGGAGAAGTTGATAATAACCAGAGAACACTCTTTGTTTGAAAAGAATTTATGCACCATGTATGAGATATATGAATACGCAACAGGCTATTGCTTTTAAGAGTTTTGTTAGTGTGTGTGCTTTCGGAGCTTAATTGCCCAGGAGGCACCTGGACTGTCCATATGTCTTTGTTTTTATTGTCCTTTATTGTCCTAACTCTGTCCAAATTCTTATTACTCTAATTTTTATTACTGTTTTTATAACCATTTTATTACTATTAAACTTTAAAAAACTTAAAACAAGCGATTAACATTTTCCACAACAGTAAGCAATTACTACTTTAACTTCTGTGTCTCTAAGTGATTGAAAGCATGGTCTGAAACACATAAGCAACCTGGTCTAACAGAACGTGTCCCTGCCCATGGCAGAGGCCTTGGAACTATATGATTTTTAAGGTCCCTCTTAAGTCAAACCATTCTGTAATTCTATAAAGTCTTTCCCAAGCATACTTGCTATGGAAAGACGTAGTGTAAGTGGTAAATGCAGGCAGTCATGACAAGCAATGCTAAATATTAAAAGTGTTTACAAATGCTTGGATGAAATAAAAAGCTTGATCTCTTCCCATAAGTATTATGTTTCCACAAGATGCTGTCTGAGTGAACTGGTATGCTCCCGTTTGAAAAACTAGGTGGGGGTGTGTGTGTCAGGGAATGGCAACAGCTACACATGCCCTTGTCTAGAAGGCAGCTCTAGCTTGGCAGCATGGGAGCAGAGAGAAGGCAGCAAGGGTGATTAGCTTCTGAGAGATAACACACAGAATATAAATTTTCAGTTCTCCTGAAGTTCCTAGATAGAGTTTAAAAACTAACTAGCAAAAAACCAAAAAAAACCCCAAAACAACAACTACAACAACAAAAACAACAACAACAAAAACAAACAAACAAAACAAAAAAAAAACAAACCCAAAAAACAAAAAAAAAACCACCCCACACCAAACCAAAAAAAACCCCAAAAACAAACAAACAAACAAAACAAAACAGGAAAAAAACACCCAAAAACCCCAAAACGAAAAGAATGTAAAAGTATGCACAAGATGATAAACGTGGCTAGAACCAGCGGATACATAGATTATGAGAAATATGGTGGGATTTTTTGGCAAAGTTATGTAACAAGAAGCAACAACGCAGGCCCAAAAAAAAATGTTCAAGGTAAGGTCATCTGTAATACTCAGTGAGTACGAGCATTAGAGACCCCTTTAGATGACCGTCTAGCACTATAAAAGGACTTCCAACAGGAGGCGGACGCGTGCAAATTAGTTCTGCGACAGTGAACTGTATTAGCTAGGAAGTAAGTTTTAATGAATATGTATGATCATGATAGAATTAATGCCCTGTTGTAGTTTCATGACACACATCCGATTAGAGGAGCTATCTTCCCAAAGTGTCCAAAGCTGTAATAAAGAATGCAGGCTTTCAAATATTTCAAATTGTGCTACTTTATTTTCCGGCCGATTTCGATATCACCTTAGGCTCGTTGCGGATCACCGAGACCACTGTCCGGTGATACGGCTGCAGGGGAGCTCGGCTTTGCCCGGCCTGGCCTCGTGGCCGCACTGTCACTGAACAGCTCCACTCGCGCGCGCAGCCCCACCTTTCCCCCCCACGCGCCGCTCCATCGGCGGCTCCGTCCCTCCCCTCGCGCCAGGTGAAAGAAGCTGCCCTATTCCGCACCTGCGCCAGGCCCACAGTAGTTCCCTTCCCAGAAGTGCCCGCACCTAAAAGAAGATAAAATAATAGTAGTGGTAGAAGAGCGTGGCTGAGGCCGTGCCTTTCAGTGGGCTAGGTCGCTCTCCACCAGTTGCTTTCAACGCTCAGTCTCTGCAGGGACCACTTTTTGCCGTCTTTTCTCCTGCTAATAGTCAGGCAGCAAAGGACAGCATTCTAGAGGAGACGAAGGCGAGCTGGGTCCTTGTAAGGCAGTGGCGCGGTGTGTGACGCATTGGAGCGGCGCGCCGCTCCCGGGGCCGGACGGAGGCGTGGGCACGATGATGCCCGGAGAGACGCCGCTACCGCCGGCTGGAACTGCGGCCGCCGGCAGGGCCTGCGCCAACTGTGGTGTTCTCCAGCAGGTAGGCATGGACCACCATCTCTGTGGCGCTGGAGTGGGGTTTTTGCTCACGGACGAGGTAGTGGATCAGCGCCGGGCCGCTGGAGGGAAGTGTCGGGTATCACAGTCACCACTCCCTGTGCCGTCGGGAACGGGGATACCGTGCGTGCTAAACGGGATCTAAAACCAGCAGCAGTGTCGAGCTCTAGCTAGGCGAAGTGTGGAAAAGTAGCTCGTGTCTCTGCGACGTGCCTAGTGGGATATGTCAGGGAATTTCTAATTGTGTGCTCTTGGCTTTGCTCCGGTGCAGTGTAAGGATTTAGAATTTAATTCCTTAACGGCATCTTAAGCGAGTGTATATTTTTATGGTATTACGCTTGGATAATTTTTGTTTTTCCTTTAAATGAAGAGAAGGTCCTGTTGACAGTTCATAGGACACACTTAGAATGAGTATGGATGAGAAACTGGAAAATCTGTAGACTCAAGTGAGCTAATGTTTATTGCTGATATTCTGCCAAAGGTCAATTGGATTTTGATAGAAAAAGTTTTAGGGATTTAGTGTAGAATCTACTGCAAAGGCAAAGTTTGAAGAGCTTTTGTAGCAAGGCCTCACTTAAAGATGCATACTTACTTGTGGAGCCTGCATTCTCTGCGTGAATGAAGACAGTTTATTGTATTTTCTATAAAATTAACCATTGGATTAGGGGTTATTTACAGTACTGATTTTTGGGGTGTAAATTCTTTACTGACTTGGGACTCTTCCTTACAGAATATGAATGACTATGTAGCTGCATTAATTGCACTGAAGCAAAAAATAATTGATGGAGAGTAAGTACAATTGCACGCGTTTTTGTTTGTTTGGGTTTTATACTTTAGTACTTACAGCAATTCAGGAGATATGATTTTTGGAATGTGGATATTTGTTTATGCACTATACTTAATGCTTCTCAAAATAAAAATTCTTCACAAACATGTCCTAAATCTCGACTGTAAGACTAATTTATTCCATAAAACATTTGTGTATAATGACAGTAAACAGGGCTATTGTGTACCTGTAATATTATTAGAAGTACTGGCTGAAGCGACTCTTTGAAGAGATTTATTTATTTAAGGCAGAAACAGATAATTGATGATATGTATTTATATTTATTTTGTTCATTTAGTTGTGCTTGTTTATTTCATTTTTCTGTGGAGAAGAATGTGGGAACTAAAAGCTGAGTACAGATATGAACTTTCTCATCAGAATTTAGTCTGATCATTAAGTTCTGAAATTCTGATGGGATTAAATATCAGAATGTGAAAAGTGAAGCTGAACATTGTTCAGAATGGTATGATTATAAAATCCTTCTTACAGTTTGGTTTCTTTTCTGTGCTTGCTTCCAATTCTTCTCAAAACCCATCAACATATTTTATGGAATAATATATCAAGATATGTTATGTATACCTCCATACTGTGGTCTAATATCTATGCAATGTCTCCTAATTATAGTGGTTTGTTTCTTATATATCCTTTCCTAGACACATGTCAATCTCGCTTTAGTGAATCTAAATGACAGTCCTGCGTTCTATTTCCAGAGTATTTCAGCTAGCACACACTGGGTCTCATAACTAGGATCCTTTTTTCAAAGCTGCTTTATTCTGTTGTGATTTCTTTTCTGACCTCTAAATTTTGTGTCCATCTTCTTTCTTCCAATGCATATATTTATTGTGCAAATTGCTTCTTCTTTAACTACTTGCAGCTCAGGCTTTCTTTTTTGCTTTGTTGGATTTCTCTTGACTATTGCAATAGAAAGTAATGCAACCCTCTCTGTATTAGGGTAACTCCCATGGTATTACTCTTTCTTGTCCTTTCTTTTCTCTGTTCATAAAAAACATAACATTTGAGGAAAGAAAGGAGTAGCTTTCCTTGATGCTGTCCCATGGTCCTCTTGCATCAGGGTAAGTGTTACCCTTTATGGCTGCTAGGAGAATAATATAAAGATTAAAACCTTTTAGGGTCTTTCAAACTATTTCTCTGAGATCTGTGTTCTTTTTTAGGAAAACATCCTTTCAAGTTTGGAAACGTGTTTTTATATATATCTATATGTATATATGAATATATATCCTCTAGTATATATATATGTGTATTATTTCCTTTGTCTGAGCAATACATTTTTTTTAAAGTTGCAATTGGTTAATGGCTACAACTTCATATAATTGCCAGTTGGTTTTTTTTTCTACTTAAAGCAGTTTAAGATTTGAATGGCTTAATGAAATCAAAGGCTTATATTGACTACTATCAGAAAATGTAAACCAATCTTACACTTTCTCTGTTTATCTGTAAAGCAAAAGGAAAGATACCCTAACATACAATTGTCAAAATCAGGCGAGAAAATGAGTAATGTCTGGGTTTTTTCTTTTCTTACAGTCGTTTGCTGACAGAGTATCAACAGAAATGCACTGATATCCTTTAGTTTTCTCTTTGTGTTCTTACAGGATTAGTATACCTAAAACTAAATAAAAGGGCTTGAGGCTTTCCATTTAGGTTATGAGATGATGTCTCTAATAAGGAACAAACTGGGTGGGTTTTGTAAAGAAAATAGGCCTTCGGAATTAAAACTATCCACTTAAGATCTGCCTGTTTCTGGTATATGGTTTAAGGTGGTCTGTTTGAAATCTGAGTTGCTGAGAATTACTCAATCTTTTTCATGTAACAGGATAAGCTCTTCTTACTAATTTCAAATGTATTGAAATGCATGTATCAAACAGTTCTGAAAGTCTTCGGGAGTTTTTTTTTTCTGTAAGGAAGTCTTTACTGGATGTTTCTTTGCAAGTGGCAGTTGGATTGAAATATACTTAAGGACATTTGATAAACTGTTTTTAATATCTACCTTAACAAGAGATTACAGCTTCAATTTGCTGAAAGGTAAGTTGGATTTATATTCTTTAGTAAAGATGTATTGCTATATTCTCTGTGTTGTGGTTAGTTTTAGGAGTCTGACAGTGTCAACGCAACAGCCATGGGTCTGAGCTGCACTTTTAGTATGGTACTTTTACTATGCTTCCTAGGCCATAGTTAGCAAAGGTATGATGAGGACAGAAATCTGTCCTTCCTTTACAATACATGTGTGGGATTCTTTCCTGGCCCTGGGCTAGTGAGAGTCCAAGTAGAGATGTGAAGCACATCTTTTGGTGGTGGTTAAGTGTATGGCTATTTGGGGTGTCCATATTTGTGTGAAGCATTTTGATTTAAGAGTTGTGTCTGTGCCCTTCCTTACTCTGTGATTATAGAGGAAGAGGCAGCATATAATTTTTATGGACTCCAACCTGCCTGCTGAAAAACACTGCATTTGGACTCTGCTCTTACTTTGCAGCACCATGTATGCAGAGACATTTATTACTGCCACTTTAGTGTAGGCAGCATACTTCTGTGGCACATGCCATCTGCTTGCATCTAGCTTTGGGTTCAGTGTAGTGTTTTTAAATCAGAGCTTGGATTTTCTTTAAATAGCTGGAAAAATGAGAACACTGAAACTCTTAAGGTTTTTAGGTATTCTCACAGCATTTTTTCCATAGGATGAAAGCAAAATACTGAGATGCTTGATTGAAGAATCAAAATACTGAGTTTCAAAGCATCCATGTTTTTGGCAACTTTTTTAATTGCACATCTAATTTCAGAGAGATCTCGGCTCTTCGTTGCCAAGTGGAGAAGATGTTACAGAAAATTCTGCCTCTGGAAAAATGCCAGGAAGAGTTGGGTTCCTTGAAGGCAGAGTTGGAAGAAAAAAAGGTGTGCTTATTTAAATAACTTGCACTTTTTCTGTTAAGGAAATGCATATTCCTAATGCTTATCTTAATGAAGTTGACTTGTAATGAGCTCTGTTCTTATTTCCAGCTCACTGGGACAGGTAGCTGTGGTGAAGTTAGGTGAAATTAATTAAATTACTTCAGGTTTCTGAGAGGCAATAAGTTTAGGTTGTAGTAGTTTTTAAAATTTTTGATCAGATAATTTGGTTATTTCCTCAATAAGGAAGGAATGAGAAACATTCAGACTCCTTTGGCTTTCTGCTCTGATCTTGTCAGATTATTGAATATAACTTGTACTAGTGAAAAGGTGCCAAGAGACAGGGTCTGTGCAGAATAGTGTTGTGCTTCTGTTACCTTTTTGAACATACGTTTTACATCATTAGCTTCTGAAGTTTATTCCTCATTTCTCTCCCATCACTTAGCTGAGATTTAGTCTACAGGAAAGAAGGTTTAGAGTGTTCAAATTACTTACATGTATGTATTTTCTAGATATTATTATAATTTCTAAAGAAAATACCCCACTTTCTTTCTTGTAGCTCTTTTATAATGGTATAAGAAAGATACTAACAATTGTCTTGTTGCTGTACCTAGTTAGTGTTCTGTGTTAGAATGGTTTTATAACTCCCCTTCCCTCAGCAAGCATTAGTAGCTGGATGTCCTGATGGCACTTGCTCAGAAAAAAATAGGATTACATGTATGGTGTATAATAGTTAAGATCTTGACTTCAGCTTCAAGTTCCTATCCAGCTAGGTGTTGAAGGCATGTACTCAAAAGATAGACATAAAGAGATTCATGTGTTTGTTTGTTATAACTTTTGCCTTTAAAGAAGGAAGATAACCTGACTTTCCAACTCACTTCTTTTCTTATTGAATATACTTAAACTTTTTTGGCCAGGCATTGTTTTCATTAGAAGATAAGGTGTCTGCGTGTTTTTTTTTTTTTTTTTTTTTTTTTTTTTTTTTTTTTTTTTTTTTTTTTTTTTTTTCCCCTCAGTATGGACATATTTTAACTGTGCTTTCCTTCTTCAGAGTTCTCTCAAGATTTATCAGGAGAGTCAACTGGAATATGATAAAATTAAAGAAGAAATATTAAACAGTGATGCTGTGTAAGTGATGCTTCTTTTTTTCTCAACCTTTCTTTCCCTCTCTTGCCTCTTCCGAAATTGATAATGTACCTTATCTAGTTATGCTTTCCATTTTGCTAAAATTTTTGTACTTGTGAACAAGGAGTATGTACTTTTGTACTTAGAACAAGGAGTTGATGGAAGAATGTTCCTAAGTTTTGTAGCAAGCTCTCTTAAGTGCATTGTTACTTTATTTATTGTCTTGTGAAGTGGCTTTATGTGGTTGTTTAATGAAAGTCTTCAAGAACAGGATGAAATTGAAAAAAAGCTGTAGTTTCTCCAGTTCTAAGTAGTTCTTAGTCTCAGCTTTTTGTTATTGCCATCCATTTCAGTTTTGCTGTTAAGTCTCTGATGGCAGTATAAGAATAATATTGCCAAAGTGGTCTGTACTAAAATGAGTCCTTAAAATAATCCTTTTAATGTAACAGCTCAGCAGTTCAGTCTGGCATGTCTGGAAATTAGCAGGAGGAATTTGGCACCAAAAGTGCAAAAGTAATTTTTGCTGCTGTAATACAGAGTATTCTGAAGCTGTGGCTTGGTAATTCCCAAAGTTTGTTTTTCCACTAAGCAGTCAGTTAAAGGTTTCCTTGACTGGAGCATATGTGTGTGTTAACTCTTACAGCTCTTGATGCATACTCTAATGGTCTTGTCTAATTACTCTTTAATTCTCTAATATTTTTAACCTTTAAATCACCTATATCAGTGAACTGTGACTTCTCAATATTGTGTGGGAAGGTACTCAAGCTCTCAAAAGAGAACCAGCTAATATATAGCAAGGTGTTACCTCCCCTTATTTTTTTCTGTGAAGGTATTTTATGACGAATTTTGCTGAAATTCTCACCTATGGCTTGACTGTCAAAGTCATCTATAGGAAAGTAAGTATGAACCTCTTCAGGCTGAGAAGGCACAGAATCCTTGGTCTATTACTTCATACTGTAAATACTTTGACTACTGAACGTGCAAAAGGTGCATTCATGAGTGGGTATTTGAATATATTCTGGTTAATGTCTGAGTGGTAATTAAAGCCTGAACATCTAGAAAGGCTTAGATGGCAAATCTCAATCTATTACACAGGTTTTAATATGGGGAATAGATGAACTGTGTTCTGCTTTATGAAAATGATCAGTGATCATTGGTAGAATTGTCTACTTATCTCAACAGTTTAAAAACAGTTTCTGGGATATTGGAATTTAATAGAAGAAAAGAATAGAAATGTTTATTTTTCTATTTATTATTTTCCAGTTCTTTGTGTTTTACATATAAGGTAGGGTTGGAAATGTTGAAGTCAAAATTTTTCAGATGCTTCATGTTTTTTTTCCTTTGGTTTTACTTTAGTCTAAAGCATCTGGATGTTCTGAACAAAAAGGTGTGAGACATAAGTCATCCTGAGGGCTATTCCTGATTATCTCATTGCTTAGATGTTATTCATTGTAGGCAAAGCTTGATTATTTTTAAGGAGTAAAGCTAACTTGTCTGCATTACATCACAGAAATGGAAAAAACAGAAACCAGTTTTCTGCAGTTGTATTTCTAATTCCAAGTTGTTGCTAAAGGTATATTTAGTGGATTGACTCTCTTAAAAGCAAACTCTGCCTCTGTAACTGATACAGCTGTGTGAGAATGCCACATGCCACCAATTTAATTTTTTTAACTTCAGGGACTTATTGGTCTCACAGGTCCTGGGTATAGGAAGTGTGTTTTCTTTGAATGGCTAGAATTTTTTTTCTGACTTTTCATGCAACATAGTTCTATTTTAAAAAATGATCTATTAATGTGTTCTTTTTAACAGGAGAAAGAAACTGGAAACTAAAGTGAAAAAACTTGAAGGTAACTTTCCACATTGAGTAGGACAACAGTACAGTAACATAATCTCTTTTTTCCTTTTCTGTCCAGAGGAATTGTGACTTTAACTTTGATGCCCAAGGAGCAAGGCAGGCCAGTAATATGTGGGGTGCTTAGTCTCTGATTTATATCATCCCTCCTGCAGAATATTTTCTGCTGAATGTCTTAGGCACATGACTCAGATGAATTTGGAAGGGAACTTCTAGTCATGAAATCTTCAAAGGATGGAGTGTTATCAGCCTCTGTAGGCAACTTGGTTCAGTAACATGTTGGAAACTCCCATGTTTCAGTTTACACCTAATGTCTACCGTACAGCAGTCTCATTCCATCTTCTTGATACCTCCTTGTACAGGAAAGTTGTTCTTTCTATGATTTGTTATGTTTTCTCCTCTGGCTGATTAGGTCTAGTTCTGTTTTCATAGGGCATGTGCTCCAGTGTTCTAATAATCCTGGCAGGATTCTTCATGTTTATGTTCGTATTTAAGTATTTGGTGTTCCTGATGCATGTTTCCTGGCTTTTAAATAGTCTGGCACTTGTATTTTAGTTGGTTAGTTTGTTTGTTTGCTTGCTTTTTTTTTTACATGGAGAAAGAGAACTGACTTCATGGCACTGTGTTTTTCTTGTTTGCGAGGATGAATGTACGTAAGACTTTTTGAGACTTTACTTGCTGTGTCATCAATTGGCAAGGCAGATAGTTGCATTCATATCACACATATTTTAACTGTGCTTACCATAGTTCAAAATACAGTGAACTGAGTGACATATCTTAGTGTTAGAAATCCCCTGAATCTTGCTGTAAAGTAGAGGTACAAGGTGTTTATTTTGATGAGAATTTTGGAGTCCCATTGCAGGACAGCCAGTCTTTTTACACACTTGCCTCCAAAATCTCAAATTCTGGCAGAACTAGAACAAAATACTGAGAGAGAGCCTGTGTTGGGTCCAATTTCAGTGACTGTTTTATCTGTTTTGGTTTTTTCTATGTTCATTTAATATCTCAAACATTGTACCTTTTGGCAGTGTGAAATTTTGCCATGATTGTTTTTTTGTTAGCCTACCACTCAAGGTTCCTTTTTAAAACCTTTTAATAGGCTCTCTTCTGATTTGATCAGCAGGAATATTCCATTTATTTTCTTTCCTATCCATATATAAGTCATCAAGCTGAACTCTTAGGAGTTCTCTCAGCTGACTCTGTCACCTGAGAATTTTCCTAGGAACCTTGCATTCAGTTCTCACCTACCCTGTACCCTCTATTTCCACCCATCTGCACTCTTGCCAGGTGTCTGTTAGACATGAAGAGATAAGGTCCTCTTCTCTATTAGTCTTGAGTGCTGTATGTATCTTTCTAATGCAGCTGGCATTAGGATGTGGTGTTTTCATCTTTGAACCAGAGCTCTTATAAGACAATAAAACATGTAAAAAACCCTTGCAACTCAATTTTATCTCCTTTTTTCACTTGGTGTATATTGTTCTACAGTACAATATCATTGTAATATGACCCACTCTTCATTCTTGCATATAATTGAGAAAACTAATAAATGTATTGCTGTGGCTCAAAACAGTAATTATACAGTAGAAGGCAAGATACTTGTATTCATAAGATGTTGTCTGAATTAACCAAAATATAACTTCAGTGAATTTGTATTTCACACTATCTGGTTTTTGCTGATAATTTTATTTGCAAACTAGGGAACCACTATACCAGCACCACTTAAATTTGTGGCCTCTTTACAGTGTAGTTTCTAAATTGAATTTTGGTTCTCTTTTTTTGAAGAGGCTGCAACAAAGCATACACAGGACTTCAGACAACTGAAAACTGAAAAGAAAAGGCTTGAAAAGGAGCTAAAGAAAGCACAAGTAAGGCTTTCCTTGTCTTTGTGTGAAACTTCTTTTACTATTTTTGGGGGAAAGAAAGAAGCTATTGGTGTAATAGATGCTGAAATAGTAAAATCACATTTTTGGGTGGATATTGAATAACTAAACATTAGCAATTCACCGTAAGAGAGAAATTTTCCAGCTTCAGAATTGTTGATATAGATTTCATGCTCTTTAGGACCTGATGCTCTAAGAAATATGTATGGCATAAAAATTCTGTACTTCTTAATTTTAACAGGGAAAACTTGATGGTGTAATTAAAGAGAAGTGCAGAAAACGTAAGTGCTTACCTTTGAATGCCTTCAAATTTGTATGTGGTATTGTTCCATTTGAATATTTTCTTTCCAACTCTCCTCTTTTTAATAGTTAAACATGCAGAAACTCAGAGTTCAAGTGAAGATCTTGCAACAGATATAGACAAAGGTAAGACTTTTTGCAAGTCCATTCTCTATGTGGAAACAATTGTTATGAATTTATTGCAGTTCTTCAGGAGTTGCAATTTTGGAAACAGAGGATACTGCCAAAATGCTATAAGAGCAGATGCAGTTGATACAAGTAGGTTACAATGATGAAGGGCCAATCTAATAGATTACGATTTTCAGTTTTTCAGTAAGGAAAACTCTTGATTCATAAAAATGACTAGTCTACCCTGTGCATATCTGAAATCAGCTGATGTGCAATTATAAAACAAAAATGCAAACACTGAAAAAAATACTAACAATCCCTCTGAAGCTTACTAAAATCATAAACCACCAAATAGGAGAGTAATCTTGTAAAATTTCTAAGTGAGATTTGGAAAATCAAATAGAAATACAGGAGGTATAGCTGTATCTTATCTTACTGACTTTTTTTTGCTCTAGTGATCTAAAATCTATGCTGCAAATTACCTGAATCTAACTCTAATGGAGCAAACTCCTTGAAAACTTCCTCTTAAGTATTAAGACCAAACTTTATGCAAATTCATTTTTTGTATTTTTTGCAGTTTTTTAAAGTGCTGATACTGCTTTTGAACTGTTTAGGGATGCTGAAGGTTGTTCTGAGGCAAAAGAACTTCACTGTTCTATTTCTTGCTCTGCAATAGGTTTGTTGCGGAAATTAAATTTTTTTGAAAAAGCCACACCTTGTCAGTTTGTGTGTGTCTTGGCATATTTTTTACTTTTGGATTGTACTGAATTGATACCAAATTTATTCCTTTGATTTTTAATTAATGGCAAAATAGGAAAATTAATATCTGAGCATTAATTTGAGCTTCAAATAGCAGCAAGGAGTTATTAGTAATAAGTAAATGGTAGTGTTGTTAATAGCTGTTCAGCAAAATTTGGTAGGTTTTCCTTGTATATGCTGACTGTTTTTTAATATGCTTCTTCATAAAATAATAGCAGTTTGCCATGGCCTTTGACTTACAGAATTTGCACAAAAACAGTGTCAATTCCTGTGCCGCGCTGCTGTCTGAGATTCTCTACTCCCCTAGGTTAGGGGAGGAGACTGCACCGGCTAAGCTGAGGCACAGCAGCTAGCAGCGAGGGGGCACTACCCAGATGCTCCAGGGGCGTCCAGGGAGCGCCTCAGGAGGAGGCAGCGGTGTGCAGCAAGAAGGCGAAGTAGAAAAGAGGGACTCCTCTTGGGGGCAAAATCCAGAGGTTTATTGCTTCCAAGGGAGCCAGCCAAGAGAAGACCTCGTACAATACTATATAAAGGGGGTGGATCAATTGGGTGGGAACAATACAATAACCAATGAGAGGGAACTTGGGCGGTAACATACTCATGACTGACACATTGGCTAGCTAATAAGGAACATAGTAGGGAGGGACTCTTGTTCCTGGTCCAATCACCCACCGTAGGGAGGAGAACTGAGCTTGGGGAGGGGTTAACGGAAGGAAACCATAGGAACAGGGGAGGAGGCAATAAACTGACAGCTCTTCTAACTGGGGGAGGGGCTAACTGGGGAGGGAGGAGGATCCCAAGACCGAACCATTTGATACATGGGGAAAACGGAACATACCAACTCCAACTAAATTAACACACTACAACAGTTCCTGATTGTTGGATTTATGATACTTTTGGCATAAGTAGATAAGGTGCTTATGTATTTTACTGAGGTTTTGAGTTTTTCTTCCCTCTCCACTTCTCTTCTGTCTCTGAAACTAGGTTGTTTGACATCACATAGCAATGGTGCTGCTAGAACTGTAGACAGTCTTCTAGTATTGTGGCCTGATAATTAATTCAGAGACGTAGTGTATTTCATGATAAAACTAAGATTAATTATTACTGAGTGAGCATAAATGTGATACACATCTTCATAGAAGAGTTTCTCCCAGGTTCATGTAACTTGATTTGTTTTACAGAGCTGTTTAATTTCGCTAATGCTACATTTGAATGTGTTTTACCTTTTACTTTGTGAGCTGTTACAACTTTTTGCAGTACTCCCTATAAAAAGGAAAAGGTGTAAAGCATGGAAAAGGTGTAAAGCATTCTCCAGCTGTTCCTTTAGTCTGCTCTGGGGGTATGGGCAGTACAGGATCTATTCCCTAAATGGCATCTAGCATTTCTCTTTCACTGAAACTTGTGCCTTGTTTTAATTTGTTGTGGGTATTTTGTATTTAGTTGTAGGCATGTCTGTGTTCTGAGTAAAATAAACACAAATTCTTAGTTCAATTTTATCAATTCATTTAAAATAAATATATATATTTATTTATTTATTTTAACAGGAAGAGTGAAGCTCTTATTAGAAGAACTCTGGATGTGCATTGACAGTGCATCAGGAAAAAGAGAGAATGAGAAAAATGATCCTGTCTTAGGTACAATGGCATGCAAAGTCTTGAAATTTTCTTGATGCTCTCTCTTTTTCTGACCAAAAGGCAATGTTGGTATTTTCTTTCAGCTTCTATTTGGGATAAGGAATGGGCTAACAAAAGAAGACTAACTGTTACAGAAAGTAGGTTCCAGTTGGGTAGTGACTGCGTAACACTCTTTTGAAAGACTTAAATACTTTCCTTGATGTTTGACTGGTCAATTACATGTGTATAATGTGAATGATGGTGCATATGGGCTCTTTTTAGTCTGAAACAAATATGTGGTAAAATAGTTGAATTATAAAGTTTAAGAAGCTGTTACCTCCATTTTCTTCTTTGTAATGTGATATTCAGATAATGATAAAAAATAATCTGAGTAGTTATCCACATGTACATTCACAGCAAACTTTAACTGCTTTAACTTTACATAGCAGATATTTTCTTTCTGCACTCAAGAGTAACAGATGCCTTGAAACTGCATTAGTTTTTGTGTTGCATCTCTGGAATGTTTTTATTAAGCTTTATTAGTTTTTTCAGTTTCTCTACTACTTTGATTTTTCTGTAACTAAAGGTGTACAGATATTGCCTGGGATAAGTACCCAGCAGCATTAAGAGCTTTGAAGATAATCTTTTCAAAGACCCTCTTAAGTTTAAAAATTTGCTGCTAGTGTAGATCCCAATGAATCTGCCTTCAGATGTGTTCCAATGGAATCCACTTAAGAGGTGCCAAAATATAAGGACCAGCTCATAACAGCTGGTTAGTCAGCCTTACTTCCATTAGTTTAATGCAGCAAATACATGGCTTCAGATCTAAAACTGAGCTAGACACTTGTGCCCTGCAATTCTGAATTTAATGTCTTGATCGAGGGTAAATCAAGTGACAAGAACAAGCACAAGAAACTGAAGAGTTTAAAATATATGTGATTTTAGGGGTATCAGGTTCCAGATAATCCTTTTGCCATCCACCAAAAGAGGAACTTTAGATTCCAGAAATTGTGTCCCATCTTTCCTATTCATGTCTTCTCAAGGAAACGACAGTACTTTCATAGAAGGAAGTAATTATCTCTAACAGTCTCTTCTAGCCAGTCCTTCTTTCTGCCCACTTCAGTGTGGAGAAAATTCTAAGCTTAGACCATGTTTTTGTTGGAATGGTTAGATTTCATAGAAATACGGCTTTTGTCCTGTTACTGGTTTGGTTTTTTCCCCTCTTCAAACCTAGAACAGCCATCTTGTTATTCAGCCTCTTAGGAAACTGGCCTTTACTTTGAATTCATAATAACAAAGTGCTTATGTTTACAGGTGCAATCTTCTAGGAAAAAAGGGATCTTAATAACTTTGCCATGATTTCTGGTCCCATATTATAATAGTTTCAATCTAGAGGGCAGATCAGCTTGATGGTAGTATCTTTTCCAGAGAATGTCAGTTCATCTGTTGCCTGGATCTAGCCTTTCAGAAGTGTACTTATTATAACAGATTTCTTGGTGTATTCAAATGTGCTGTAAAATACCCAAAACTTTGCGTTATGGATCAGTGTCTTTTCTGTTCTGCTAAGGCTGATACTACTTTGAATGGTTTTCTTGAAGAATGTGTTAATATATGAAAATTGGAAGACTCATGAGGCTTTCCAAATATGATGTTGTGAAAGCCTGATAGGATAATGGAGGTTTGCCAAACTTAATTTAAAAGCATTTGGTAGTACTGTTACAAATCTACCAGTAATAAAGTTGACAATACCTGCATCTGACCATGAGACCTTGGGCCATAATCTAAGGTTACTAAGACATTGATAGTATTTTAGTCTTTGGAAAACTTTATCTCATATAGTTGGGACATAAAATCACCTACATTGTGAATAAACATTTAATGAAGCATTTGAAGAATCTTGCAGCTGGGTGCTGAATATTTTGGTAAGTTGGGTTCTGTAACATGCTCTGTTTATATGCTATGGTGAGATGAACTGAGGGAACATGGTAAAGACCATGGCTCCTCCCTGTCTGGGAGGAGCCAAGCTTCTTCAGGAGGTATTCTGTAACTGGGTTTTGAGCTAAATTTGGCTTACTATGGAGCTATACCCATCTTACCTGCTCATCTTTTTGTTTGGGGATATAGGATAGGGGAGAAGCTGCATGTAGATCTTAAATGCAGAGATGGAAAGAACTGCACTTTAGTTGCCTGCTTTAATATCAGATAATAGGAGATGAACACAGTGGTATTATATGTAAAACACAAAGATGAGACTGAATCCCCAGGGATATGTGTGTTTTATGGTTTTGAGATTAAAGTCCATAGCAAATGAGTGTTTTGAGAAGCAGACCTCTTTTCTGTCTTGAAAAACAGATGAAAATCTCAAGGTAACACCTATATAACAATGTAGCATTGCATATTTAGTTTTGGGTATGCAGTTCACCATAGTTCTTTGTTTCATATAGTGGAATATGCGGATTTGCTGTCTCAGAAAACAGAATATTGTCTGTAGCTTCAAAGAATATTTAGTGTATGACCCATCCTGAAATTCACATAATTGGAGACAGGTTGAAAAATTCTGCTTCATTGTCAGGGCATTAAAAAATTTCTGTGGAGGAATTTCTTTTCTCAGAGAAACACCACTGTTCTTGAGAAGTGTGCAGTTGCTACTGCCAGGCATCTGCAATCACTGTGCTGATGAGGTTTTCCTGTAAATCTGATGAGATTCTATTACTAGATTATTTATTTTTATAAAATACGACATCTTAATCTGGTCCTTCTTGAGAGGAAAAAACCACAAGACTTGTTTCAAAAAGTTGCTTTGTTGCTTGGAGTGAGGAGAGGACAACTTGCAACGGTGAATTGCCTTGCAATGTGCCCAATCAAGAGTAAAGTTTTGAGTTGTAAAATTCAGTTTGTTTAGTACCAAGGCAATCAATTTTAGCATTGGATCACTTATTTCATCTCTGCTTTTTTCTCCACTTGGCATGAAGAAGGTATTTCAAGTAGTACATGATTACTCTGATTTGAAAACATCATCAAAATCTATCTTAATCTTCTCTCAGAAGTGAGAGAAGGCAGCAGTGTAAGGGGTTTGAAGCTACATGAGCTAGATTCCAGATTGTAGATTTCAGGAGAAAAATTTTATCATTTCACTGATTCACATAATGAAGAAGAGTGCAATTCCCTGGATAGAGTAAAATTTGTCTGCGAAATACAATCTTTGAGAGGATCCTTCCAAGGAAATGGGCTCAATATTAATAAGGCTTTTCCTGGATCTGAGGTTCAGGCCAAGGTGCAAAGAGTTGACACTTCAAATGAAGAAACTTGCTTATACTGAATCTTTAAAAATTGCTCTGACAACTCTTCTTACAGATAATTGGGTAACTATAAGAAAGGTATCTCATTACCAAAGAAATGCAGTTATCAGTGACTGGGTTGGAAAGGGATGAATAGAGAAGTTTGGAGAATCTCTTAGTTATTCAGAAATTATGTCTTTGATCCATTGTTCAGGGGAAACATTTAAATGAATGATATGTATCAATATTCTTGGACTTTATGTAGGTGCATGACTGATTTTGAGATTATAGAAAGGATGTAAAGTTCCTAGTAAGTCAGTACTATTGTGTAGTTCACTGTGAAAAGTAAACTTCCTAATTGTCTAAATGGAGTCCTTATAGGGGCAAAATCTGTAACTGTGTTGCTGCCTGCTTCAGTGCAGGGTAAATTCTGTGCTTTGAAATGGTTGGCACAAAACAACATGAAAAAATCTAAGAGACATCCAACTTCTGAATTTTTCTTATTTTCTTTGTTTCTGCTTCTCAAAGAGCTCCTTTTGCTTTGGATTGGAACTCAAATTGTAAAAAGAATGTAGGTTTGTCCTGAGAAACTTTAGAACATCCTGGAAGCTCTATGTGACTGGTTTGTAAATGGTTTTATAAAACAATGTATTGTCGTAATACTTATAAGATGTAAAGGAAATGGCAGAGCTTTCTTGTCTTTGGTGAAAATGATGTGCTAGGGCCCTTCAGGTTGATCAGTTTCTCCCTCCTCCTGGTGTCCAGTAATTGAGACTTTTTCATGGAGTTGCTACATGAAGTGACTGAGATGGATCTTTGAAATGATGTTATTGATAAATTTTTCTAATTTACTCCTTTAGTGGTGCTGACGTATCAGAATGTGCTTAAAAGTTTTTGATCACTGAGGAGGCTATTTTGACCTATCAAATTAATATTTTTAAATATTATACTACCATTGATGTTGCTTTGGGAATATTTGTGCAAGTTCTAGTAGTGGATTGATACAGAGAGCAGTAATGAAGCACACAATTTTTTTTCCCCCCAACAGAATGCAAGTTGTGCCAGTTAAACTAGTACATCCTATACTCAAAACCATTTTATGCATGTGCTGTTCTTTGTACTGTGGGATGGTGTTGTGACTTGCCTTTGAACATTTGTTGCTAAAGGATCCCTTGGGGTGGATTAAAGTAGAAAGCTGCTAAATAATTGATATAACAACAAATTTTATTAGAACTGCTTTGAAACTATAAATGGAAAACACTGTAATGGATTGGAAAGGGGTATATAGCTATTCTGAAGTGTGTGATCACCCCAAAGAGGAAGACTGGAAAGAAAAAAGATAGAGGAGAAAAGACAAAGATAACCACCACCTGTGGCTCCAGTGATGTGTGAGTGATCGTGGTCTGTGGTTGTGATACGCAGTAGGAGTCCGTCAGAGGTGGAGGCCCGCATAGGCATTAAAATTTGGGGTTTTTATAACCCTCATCTTTCCAGCAAACACCCCAATACCTCCTCCAGGAGGAGTTCTGGACATGTACAATCTTCTTTCTCGAAGATCATGGAAGTCCGGCGGTGTCAAGCAGGGGTGTGAGACTGTGTGTTCAGGGACTGGACAAAGTTTCTGTACGAAGGTTCTAAGTAAACTTTCAGAGTTTTGCAGCTTATGGTGCATGAGAGACACTGTCATAAAAAACTCCTTACCCTGCCTCTGCAGTTAAATTGTTTAACAGCAGTTTCTCCTCTAAATCTAAACTAGCTTTTTTAAGGAAAAATTTAGTCACAAAATTTAATTAGTTCACTGTAGATGGCATACTCATGTGTACACAGAATAGGCTTGATCTCTTGCTTCAATACTGCTGATTTGGTGTCCAGTAGTGTTTGTGAATACTATAAACAAGATCGCACATACAATGTCATATAAGAATTGCAAATACTGCAGAGTAGATTTTAGTTCCATATGACACACTAGGGTTTGGGAATTGTTGATTTCTACTGTCTTATTGGAGGTAATATTTTTGTTTTATAAAATCAAAGAATTTAAATTTCAGGAAACTGGGCCATCTTTTTCCCTTTTTGAAGTATTTAGCATAATTATAATAAATTTAAATTATTTGTCTTTAGACTTTCCTGGATGAATGTGTTTTGTCTGCATAATAAATGAGTTACTGTGTAATAGTAAAAACTGTGATTTGAAAAGTAACAAAACAAAAGTACAATGCAAAGAATCACACAGAGCATTTGGACATGCTTTCTTGTTGTTAGAGTAACTGTAAAACTGTACAGTTGACATCTTGGAAGGGTCGTCAGCTGCTCAGTATCATTATCTTAGTTGTTCCAACAACTTTGTGCATAGGATATGTTGTGATGCCTTTTTTATTAAGGGTTCAGAACTGACTAAATAATACCATTAAAGCAAAATCTTGTGTGATTAGACTCAATATTTAAATTTAAAGAATTTAAAAAGAATTTAAAGAATTTAAAAGCATATGTATATTAAATCATAAACTAGAAATGTAGCTAAGTGCTTCCTTGTTGTATTTATGGCAGGATATGATTGTAACTTGCTTGGAAGTACACCTGCTGGCTCAAACCTGCAGGTTGCTTTAAGCTGAGAATTACAGCCTGGGTAGGGAATGTCTGTGCGTGGTTGTCCTGCTTTTCATGGCTGAGTTACTGGGCAAAGACCGAGATAAAACATATGGACTTTCATTCCTGCCAAGAATGACCCTTCCTGATGAGAAAAATTGGGAATGTTTTAATGATCTAAGTCAGACAGTTTGGGGAAGAATTTGCACACACATATGCCTTTTTTATTAAAAAATAATTGTGAATAACAACATCACATCTCTATAAGGAAAGCATTTTTGAAAGTGACTAAGATCTTCCATGGAAATGTCATTTGAAAATATAGTATTACATTTTATTTACTATTGCATATTATCTCTGTAAACAAAAATGGGAGGGCAGAAATTCTTAACAATATTTTTCTGTTTTAGACACTGTACAAATCCAGCAAAAGATCAAGAAGTGTGATGGCAAAACACTACCTTGGTGTTCTTCAGGGGAAAGTGCTGTAAAGCAAAATTCTGTAACAGCAATGATAATTCAAAGAAGTACCGAGCCTTTTGGAGATGATTGTGCTGTGAACAGGACTGCTGAAGAACAACTGCACAGTGGTGAGGATAAAAATGTAGATGTGATAATACAGACAGGCAGGGAGCACAGCACTTCAGGCTTCTCCACTCAGGAGCAGAGAGACCCAGGTGGAAATGTGATGGATATATTGAATTGGGCCAGACCTCTTCCTGCTCTACTTTCTCCAGTACAGCTTTCACCACTGACTACACAGGTGAGTTTCAGGATGCATCTGACTTGGCATTTAACTTGGTCTTAAAATTACTGAAGAAATAAAGATTTTATATTCCTGGGCTTTTTTTTTTTTTAAATCAGTATTATTTACTCATGCACTGAAAAGGTCTCTGTGTGCTTAGATCCATATGGATACTTTAACCTTGTAGCATACTGCCTGTGGAAGGGAGCAAAAACATAATCTTCAGAAGTGTATGTGTTATGATTTAAACCCAGTCAAAAACTAAGTGCCACGCAGCTGCTTGCTGACTTCCCCACCAGCAGGATGATGGGGAGAATTGGAAGAGTAAAAGTGAGGAAACATGTAGATTGAGATAAAGACAGTTTAATAGGAAAAGCTGTGCATGCAAGCAAAGCAGAACAAGGAATTCATTCACTCTTTCACATGAGCAGGCAGGTCAACAGGGCTCCATCATGCATAATGGTGACTTCAGAACATAAATATCATCAGTCCAAATGTCCCACCCTTCCTTCTTTCCCTCTCTATGTGCTCAGCATGATGCCATAATGGTATGGGATGTCTCTTTGGTCTGTTGGGGTCAGCTGTCCAAACTGTCTCCTCCCAACTTCCCGTGCACCCCCCAGCACTCTCACCAGTGTGGCAGTAGGAGAAGCAGAAAAGCCCTTGATGCTGTGCAAGATCCACTCAGCAATAATGAAAACATTTCTATATTATTAACATAATTTTCAGCACAAATCCAAAAAATACCCCCCTTTCTGTGAAGAAAATTAACTATCCTAGCCAAAACCAGTATACAGTCACCTATGTCTCAACTTGCTGTCATACTTTTCCAGTGGTGCAGACTTAAATCCCAGTTTGTGTTCAGTATAAGCCTGGCTTTCATAGCAAAATTCCAGAGCTTGAAAGTTAAATGCTGCTCAAATGCTCTTTTCCAGTAATTTTAGAATGCAAGTAGGTAGATAAAGAAGTCTCCTAGTTTTTACAGAGGTACTTTCATTCACTATGAAGAGCAGTGATGGAGAGGGTTGTAATTTTGTTGACTGGCCTTAATCTCTCAAAACCATTGCATGTCAGGGCCTTAAGTGTACTTGTTTAGAAAAGTAGGTCCTAAAACTGATACTAGGGTTTGGATTATTAACTTTGCTTTTTTTTAATTGAAGGATATGTTCTTGGGAGAAGTCACAGGTTCCAGTGATGAAGAAGATGATTGCAGTACTTCTGCAGTGGAGGGTATTTCACAAGAAGACAAAGTTCAGCCTCCAAGCTGTAATGTAGTCTACCCTGGTGATGAGTGTAACAGACAGTGCAAATCATGTGAACATGGTTTTGATGAAGAAATCTCACTTAATCTGAGTTGGAATGAAAAGAATATTCATATCAGTCCTAAGATATCAAGCAAGGAGAGAGATGCTGAAAGAAAGCAAGGTGAAGGTGCCATTCTAATGACAAACATGGTAACTAACAAGAATTGTTTGGAGGAGAATTCTGGGGATGTGGGAACTGAGAACAGAGAATTAACTGGAGCAACAGCACAAAAATCAGAAGACATAGAAGAACAGAAAGGAGATGGTGAGGACATGGACAGTGAAGAGGGAGATTCTTCAGTAGATTTTATGTTACAAAGTTTCAAGCCTCAGAATCAGACGGGAAAATGTAGTGTGATAGAGCAAACAGAGGAGAATGTAACCTTAAGTAGAGCTGTTGATAATGAGGGTACACATGAAAAATGTGGTGAATTAGTGAATGCAGAGAGAGATAAATTAGTAGCACAGAGAGAAACTTCCAGAGAAGCATCTGTTCTGCAGAGTGTAACTCATTTGCTATCTAAGCAATGCATTGTGCTTCATAGAGAAGATGCTGAGGAAAAATCTGATGTGTTGATAGAAAATGAAGTGGTTGAAAATAAATCAAAAAATGTAGTCATATTAACTAATATGGCTGAAGCTATTGAGATCTCTGCACACTCTCAGTGCTCTGAAATAAAACATGACAGTGAAGAGATTCTGGAGAAACAACATATGCAAACAAAAGACAAAGTGAACAGAGAATGTGAACCAGAGACTGTTAAAGTCTCTAGGCATTACTTACCTGTATCTGCTACTGAAGGAATCAGAACTTTGTCAGTATTTCCAAATGATGAACAGCTCAAAATTGAAGACGTGAATATAACCAGAGCTCCATCTCCTGAACTAACTATGAAATTTAACAGAGGAAGTGTTCTAGAAGTAGCTGAATTGTCAGAGCTACTCCATAGTGCAGAAAATGTAAAACTAGTGGATATAAAGGAGGTGGTAGGTTTACGAAGCAAACCACATCACGAGAAAGATGGTAGTAATTTATCTCAAAGGAAGTCAAACTTAGAAAATATACTTGAACTACCAAAGACAGCATGCATTATTGGTGTGGAAAGCAGTGTAGCTAAGTGTGAATCCTCTGTGTTAGATTTTACAGAAGTGAAAGGTGAAATAAAACAATCTGAAAACTTATGTGAGAAATTAGAATGTGGGCAGTCCAAATCTCAAAACTTTAGACTGTTTGAATCTCTAGAGTGTGAAGTCAGCGTTAATCCAGAAGATTGCGGAGGGGAAAGCAGTGAGTTGTTAGCAAGAGGGGATACAATTAAATCTATCTTAATAGAAAGTAATCCTATGTCTCAGGAACAGTTTGCAAAACCTCTGATTCAGCTCTTGATATCTGAAAATATTAAATGTGATGAAATAGAAGGGAAATTAAATAAACAAAGCAAGGAATTGGTGACTGAGACTTGCTCCAGTTCACTGAAGCAGGAAAAGAATGTTGTGAAGAAAAATAATACTTCAGAGATCATTTGCCAGCCTACTTCAGAAATAGAATGTAGAAGTGGCTTGGCTTTTTCTACTCAAAAGGACTTGGAGAAATGCTGTATAAATAATGAGGAAACCAATTCTCCTGTGCAAGTGGAAATTGGCTTGGAATCCACAAGATCTCCTGATCTAAATATTAGTCTTCAGAAAGTTGTTGCTTTCCTTGAAACCAACTTAGCAGGAAAGGCTGCTTTTTCCTATACCTGGGAAAACAAGGGACATACAAATTCCATTATGAGTAGTACATTTAACTCTTCTTCAGATAACTTAGAAGAGGGTGCTGAGTTTCTGACTACTGAAAAAGTTAACATGGGCAAAGAACTGGGCTGCCCTGAGAGAGAATATGTACATAAAAATGAAGAGAAAACTTCAGATAAGGAGCAGCCAGTAGATAAAGAACCTCAGGCACCTGTTAAATCACAGGTCATGTATGCAAACCCTTATAAGAATGCTTTTCTCCTCCAAAAGTTTCATTGCCAAGAATCAGGATGCAGGACTTCTACGTGGAAGGTTAGAACAGATCCTTCTAGAACTAATCCACTAACAGGTGGGGAAGAAAGTAAAGAACTGAATGGTTTTGTGGGTTCTGGGAGAAATGCCATAATAAAGTGTAAAAGTGATTTTGATATGCCAGAGCAAAGCAATGACTCTGAAGAGAAAGACTGTTCTCTACAAAAAGTTAAGTGTTCTGAATGTGTTCCAATGTTCAGAAACAAACTGAGATCTTCCAGCAGAATTGCACTGGATGCCCTGGAAACTGGTGCAGTTGTTGATGCTGATTACCAAGTATGTGAGCTTCATTCAATGAGGCACCCAGGAAATACTTTCACAGTTAGTCACCTAAAAGCAGACACTGTCTTGGATATGAATACACACTGTGAACCAAACAACTCTGGAGGTACTGCAAATGAGTGGTCAAGTGTGACTGGGGAGGGTTATCCTGAAGACTCAGCCTCTTGGAAAACCGAATGTATATTAGTAACCTCTGAAAATACTGAGAGTGCTAATGAACTCATGGAGTCTAACACAGCTGGATGCATCAGTCACAGTGAGGAAAGTCTATTAAAATCTGGAACATCAAAAGAAAGCCCTGTGATGCCAAATGCTTCAAAAAATAGGTTGCCACTATGCAAGATGTTAAGCAGATTCTCAGAAAATTGCAGGCTGACTGTAAAAACCAGTAAATTAAATGCAAGAATGTTAGCACTTGCCAATTTCTTAGAAGAAAATGATTCTGCAAAACTTCAGTCAAATGGGAAACAAGATTTATTACACAGTGGTGATATGGGAGTCTCAGTGTTTGAAGAATATAGTAATAATAATCAAACTTACACTGCTTGCAATACAGGAGAAAGCAGCACTGATGTTATCATAGATAGTGGTACAAAAAAAATTTTACTCAATTATCTTCCAAATCCAACCCTCTCTGATGTAAGGTGCAGTTGTCAAACAGCTGGTCAGGTTTCTGAACCACAAAAGACAGTATTTGAAAAGTTACATATGGTGGAATCAGAGTCTTGTGCTCTCAAGAAAAGCAATAAGTGGAAGTGTAAAGAGCAAGAACCATCTGAAATCTTGACTGTTTCTACCAAGACAGCTGTCGACATAATGCATACCAAGCTATCAAAGAAACTGTTTCAAGGTAAAAGAAAAACAAAGACTCTTAAAGTTACTCAGCCAGTTCTTGCAAATGCTAATACTTCTGTGGCAAAAAAATGCTCATCTGAGATGATAAATAAAATCAGGGAAGAGATAGGTCCTCCTCTGCCCCCCTTGCTACTGCCTTTGATTGCTACTCCTCCAAAAACTGCCTGTACTGTCTCCCCGGTAATGTCTTCAACAGGTCAATTCTCTTTGCTTTCCCCTCTTGATGACCTGATATCCCCACTATGCAAAACTCCTGTTCTTCCTCTCATGTCCCCATTAACAGATACTCCAGCAGTAAAATCTGCTATTTTATTTTCTCCTCCCTCACCCTCAGAAATGACAGTAGGTAGAAGGATTCTCTCCTCACCTTTGAAATTTTGTACTTCCATTCCAAAGCATGCACTTCCTGTTCCAGGAAGATTTCCTCTCTTTGCAGCAGTTAGTGCTGGTCCAGACGCTCCTCAGGAGAACTCTGTGAAAATATTGGACACTATGTATCCAGAGCTGTCTGCAAGGGCAAGGACACTAAACATTCTGAAAGGCAATATTCAGCTTAACCGATGTCCTTTTTCAGACAGCCAGAGTTTGCCAGGACCTGTGTCTCAAGCAGGTGGATTCAAAGCAATTGCATCTACATCAACTGCTTTTGTTAAAGCTGGGAGCAGTTTGAAATCTGATAGTAGCAAAGATGAAGACAAAGATGTGCAAAATCAGCAATTGTTTTCAAATAATTTTGGAAAAAGGACACTATTGCGGGTATCTATGCCAAGAAGTGCCAAAAGACTGAGGCTGGACAGTGAACTGCCAAGGATGGAGCCCAGTGATATTACTGCTGTCAGAAATACTAAAAATACCATCTCTGAAATGCAGGAGGCTTTCCATGGTAAAAGCTATGAAATCGGTGATTCATCACAGCATTCCAGTTTAGAAGAATCACTCCCAGTAAAGAAGGACTGCCAGAAAGTTTCTTTGGCATTAAAGAAAGTTGCTGAATCCTGTTTTGACTTGTTACCAGTTATCAAAGGTCATGTGTATGCTGGTAATATCTCACAGATTCCAGTAATGAGAGATGAAGAGAGAGAAGTTGTCTATGAATTTGGTATAAAAAACAAGGTAAGCAGCATAATTTTAAATTTTATTGTTTAATTATCACTTCTGTGCAGACAGAAATAGTGTAAGTTTGTATTATTTGAATTCTCAGTTGTTGTGGCACTGTCCTGTGCCAAAGTGTAATCTTGAAAGATTATTAGAAATCTAAATTTTTATAACATAAGAAAATACAGAACTGCACAAGAAATTACTGTTCAGTGGTGTCCAAGATGCAAAACTGCATTTATAAATACATATGCTTTCTGATGTATGCATAAACCACTTTATTTTTGCAGCATTTTTTGAAGTGGACAGTATTAACAGTTGTAGGAGTTTCTCCAAATTTCCTCTATTTTTTTTTTAATTGAAAAATATAAACTTCAATCTATATACTGGTATATAATACAGTTCTATGTTTACTATTCCACATCAGGTTATTAAATTTAATTCTGTTGGAAAATTTTTCCCTTATTTTATTTCTCAGAACTTCCTTAGCATCAGTGCTGAAAAATTTTGCTTCAGTTGCCATCTTTCTCATAGATGTAGAATTAGAAGAGCAATTCACCAACTGATACATGGCAGCATTTTGTTCTGTTACAGTCCTGATACATAATTAAGTTCTCCTCAGAAGTTGCTACCAAGATCTCAGGTCTCTTTGTTAGGAGTTGTTAAGTCTGGTAACTTCATAGAAGTAAGGCTTGTAGCTTTATGTTTTCAGGTCCAGCCAGTAGCAAGCCATACTCCTAGTAGAGAGACATGCACACAGTACACACCTACTCTTATTCTCTTGTCTGGTTAATCAGGTTGAAATCCTGGCAGAGGAGAATACTTTCATATATATACAGACAATATGGATTCCCCTAGCAGCTAACATTAGGCACTCAGTATATCCAGTAAGTGACTGATATTCTTCTCACTTGTCTCATGCACTGACAAACTTAAGAGACACAGAAGTGTACACACATTCCTCCAGCAGCTGGTCTGGACTTGTGTCTGGACCTCAGACTTGTGGTCTTTCAGGTAGCTGGCTTAGACCTTCTGATTCCTCCCAAAGCTAACACTCAGAATCCCTGTTGTCCACAGATACCCAGTCTGAACTGTGTACTCTCCCGTGCCTGGCTCCTAAACCTCTCATTCTACTCTCCACTTTCAGGTCTCCCTCTAAGCATTCCCTAATAAGTCATGCACACTCTGCACAATCCCAATATTCTTTTTCCTTGCATCCCATGTTACTACAGGCAGCAACATCTCCTCCCCATCTCTTGCAGTGTGTACAGTGATCTGGAGAAAGACTGCTGTTAACTTACCTAGTAAATCTCACACCTGAACAATGGGCTGTTTGTCCTTCTGTGGCATCTTTGGAAGTAGCTAAGTCAGGGTGCTTACATTTGCTCTGTTTAGGTTATTTGGGTTACTCTACCTGTTGTTATCCCTCTCTTCATTCCTTCTACTTGTCATTATTCTCATTCTTTGAGGCAGACTGTTGTTAATCACATAACTAAACAATTATATTAAAACAATAGTAGCCCTGTTCTTCATTTGTTTATTGCATGTTTATTTTGGGAAGTTGCCTGCTCTTTTTTCTTTCACTGGTTGCCTCTGATTTACTTTCCTGCATTTTTATATATATGCAAACAGTATTCTTGCAAATATGGTAGTAGTTCTCATTACTTGTTATACGACTACAATGTTGTCAAGTATTCTTCAGTATGTAACAGTCTTAACAATATATTTTGTCTTATAGCATTTAGCAGAGTCCTTGCTTCATGTAATTCTCAATAAGCTGAAGGCTCAGAAGAATGCCACAAATTATAATTTCAGTCAGGCTCTGTGTCGAGTATATGCAGGAATTTGTCGACAGTTGGGAGATTTGGAAAGAGCCCGCCTTTTCTGCTATAGTCTACTTAAAGAAGGTATAGTTTGGCTTAGTGGCCTTTTATCTTAAATGTGCTGTGTGTCTTTGCTGTAGTTTGTCAGAATTATTATGTTTGTAAAAACAAACAGAAATCCTGTTCAAGGGTTGTTTTCCTCTTCAAGGCTTGTTTTCCAGAATTTTTTTCTGTAATGCAGAAATATAGACTGTTCTAGAAGAAATTTCCCTTCTCATAGTTCCAGCACATCTGTATTGTAGTTTTGTGGTGACCTGGGCTCTTAGTAGTCTACTTATTTTTCCAAGGAAATATTTCATTTAGGACACTCTGCTTTCATTTCCCTACCATCTCCAAAATGATAATGTGATTTCTGTGAATTTCGTCATTTTAGCCTATTAGTATTTTCTTATTTTAATTGAGTAGGTGTTGATTCATAAAGTAAGTGTGATTTAAAACCAGGTATTTAACATAGTATCAGGAGCTGGACAATACCTTGATCAAAACCAGGGTATTTTTATAATATGTCCTCTTTAAAATCTTTTTACTTCCTGTTATCCAAATTCTTGCTTTGTTGAGAAGTTTTTTCCATTTTCGTTCCCTTCCTTTACTCCCCTGCCTTTTGGTCACAGAAATAAAGGTAACACGTACATACTATTGCTAAGTTAAGAATCTTAGTTTTCTAAGACTAAAACTCAGTAAGTTTGAAAATAGTATACTGGTATCTGTGTTTCACATTAAAATAAAATTCAAGAGCACTGACAATCAAAGTGCTAAAGCTTGAGATTGTTTCAGTTACTTGCTATCTTTGATATAAAATTCCTATCTTTTTTTTTTTTTATTCTTAAAAAGGTTTGTGATTTCATCTTGTTCTTAATTACCATTTTTTGAGGGGGTGTAATATTTTTATTTGAGTTCTTTTTCGAATTCCTGTTTTCCCCTCTGTTTTTCTATCCTTCAGTCTGTTGTAATTCTGCTTTTACTTCTTTCATGTTAATAGTTTTAATACTGCACCATGTTAGAAACTGTTACTTGTCAGATATATATTTTCTGCATCTAAAATAATAATTAAGATTTTTGTTTTGCAGTATCTTACTGCTTTTCTTTTTGTGGGTTCTTGCAAATATTAAACATTTCACCTTTTTTCCTCTCTTTTTCCTTTCTAAGATCCAAACTTTAACAGCTAAATGCAGACTTTTATTGGATGATTTTCTCTTCTATACATTGAATTGCATAAGTTACCTATTGTCATTGTTCTGTGGTTTTATAGTTATCTGTTGAGTGGGAACAGCTGTAAACACATCTTAAGTGCTGTTTAGGCTTTTTTAAAATTTGTTTGGTTTTATTTGATTACTATGCATTTATTTTTGGGTTTTCTCTTTCACGTCGTTTCACATATTCCCATCAGAATTATGGCAACACAAGCTACACAATTACCAAATTCACTATAAACAGTCAGTATTACTTCTTTAGACCAAAATCATTTGTTGTCTTGATGACTTGTCCATCGTTTTTGTTCTGTTCTCCTTTCAAGTATTCTGCCTTAAGCGACTATAAATAAAATGTTACCTTTGTAGTTATTTTTCCTTTTATCTCTCCTTTGTTCCCTCCATTTTTTCTTTTTTTTTTTTTATTTTCCTCTTTTTTTATGCCCCTTGAATTCTTACTTATTGTTGAATTAATTTTGTAAGTATTTCAAATTCCTGAGTAGGCAATTCTAGTTGTCAGTAATTCTAGTTCACCAATGGTCCTGATAGAAAAAAGTTCTGATAGAAAAAAGTGAATTCTTCTCATGATGAGCACCTTCAGAGTAAAAGGTCCATCCAAAATACCTCATTAAAGTGTATATCCTTTATGTTCATTAAAGCTTCTTGATTTGATATATTTTGATATGTTTTCTAGTACTTACGATCTTTCAAAAAATGTAGAAGTTATGCTGAAGAGGGAAGGTCCATTCAGCTTTTTAGACTTCATTGTTTTTATATAGTGTTTCAGGCATATGCATTCCAGTATAGCATTTCATGCATGAAAGTAGTATCTGCTTTATAACTTATTCCAATATATTTGTTATTGCTTACAGTCTAAACTGTAAGCAATTACAAATACACTGGAAGTAAGTGAAACTCATTGTAAGTCTAACTCATGTTTTATCTTAGTATTTTGCCTTGGAGCTCTCACCTTTAGTATTCAGAAGGGTCTTTTGGCTTCCCATTGATGGCCTGGAACTGTCCTGTCTAACTGATAGTTGTCAGATACTTGCTCTGAATTACTTTATTGAATGAGGATTCTTCAATTATATGGAGTAGCACAAACCTTTACATCTGTGGAAGTATAAATAGTAGCATGCTCACGTACAACTTGCATAATGTGTAATTTCTCTGACAAAGTCTGAGAAAACTGCAGAGGAATATCAGATTTGAATTGTGTGAAAGTTCTTTGCAAGCTTATGTATACATCCATATATATAACTACATATAATTTCACAGGGGTATGGGTGCAATGTATTAGCAAGTACTGTAGATTATTTTTTTCTTTGAACTAATTCTAGTTTGGCCCAGTGATCAGAGTGCTTATTTGTGACTGGAATGTATTAGGTGGGTTGTTGGAGTGCATCTTCCAGTCTAATTTAATCCTTAAAGAATGCAGTTTCAATGCTGTAAGACCACTCTCCTTAGTGAGCTAAAGTGCAGTGAGAAAGATGAAGGGAGAGGGAATAAAGTTACAATGGGGGAGGTGGCTTAAGGTTTGTTGGGGTTCTGTAGGTGTTTCTTGTTTGGTGTTTTTATTGGATCTTTTCTTCTTATTTAGTCTCAGGACTGAAATGTGCTAGTATGACTGCCTTTCCTTAGGCTTCAGTTGTGATGTGACTTCTGTAACCTTTTTTCTTAGTTACCTTGCTGAATGTATTAGCTTTTAACGCATGAATATATTCATTTTTGTGTTTTAAGATGTTAAAAATTTACTTAATTATTTCTTTTTTTCCTTAGACTATCCAGACTCAGAAAAATTGATTTTATTTATCACAAATGTATGGTCTGACATATTTGTCTTCCAAGGTGCAATTAACAAAGCTATGCAATTAGTTGTCAGGCAGAGTGCAAGCAATGAGATGCTGGCCTGTTTAAGTGCTTATCTCAACTGGGAACAGGTAATGTCTGATTTCATTGTCAGTATCAGCTTTTGTCTGCATTGTTCTCTTTGCTGGCTGAATCAAATCAAGCAACTTTCTTTTCTAATGAAGGGTGTGAGTATCCCATGGAGGCTGTACAGTTGCACAACTAATGCCGCTTCAGGCATTTTTCTCCTAGTTGTCTAGACCTTACTAGAATACAATACTTTTCTTGTTTTCCCATCTACTGAACACTAAAAGTAAAGGTTGTTTTTAAACTTTTAACTAGAGCATTGTTGAACTAGGGAATTCTTTCCATCTGTGGAATGTTATGTGAGATGTTTCTTTCTTTTACTTTATATTGTTGCTTTTTAAAATATGTATTTGTTTTGTCTTTTGTAGTTCTCTGTGTAACAGGTAATATGTTACTACAGTTAATTTCAAGATGAGCCTGTCCCTTTTTACTCATGATCTTTTTGCAAGGTAGACTGTAAATACTTGTTTATCGCAAAAAAACTTAATTACATAAGCAGTTGGTGTTAATACAAAACCATTGATACCAGGAGAAGGATGATCAGTGAGAGCTGACTTCAAGTCGTTGAGCTGTTCAGAAAATCATTTAATTTCTATCAGTTTTCAGCAGGCACATATTACCGTCCTGAAAAGAATGTTGCAAGGAGGAGAAATTGAAATAATTGGGAGCAATTTTATATCATGCAAATGGAAAGCCAGAGGTGCTTTGCTTCTAAAGGAGTTCGTGTCACAGGCTTGTGTGTCTGTTTAAAGGCTAGGGCCCCATATATTTGAAAACTCCATATTAATTCCGGGCTTGCTTCCTGGAAATAAAATAATGTTGTATATATCAAGTGAACAAAATCACATTGATTCATAGCTGTCCTAGTTCTGGCCACAACAGGGTTAATTTTTGCAGTTGCCAAAAAGGGGGGAAGGCTGGGACCTGGAGGTTAATTCTGTAACACCTGGTATCATTAGCAGGGATATGGGGAATGGAGTCTCTTCCAGGGAGAATGAGTCCCTTCCAGGCCAGCATAGTGTGATGGAGGGAGAGGTTGTGTATTGTTGTTTCCATGTGAATTGTTGGTCTCTCTTTTGTACCCTCCATCATTAGTATTCATTGTTATTACTGTTTGTTGTCTTATCTCATTGCTGTTTCCAGTAAATTGTTCTTTTCTCAACCTGTGATCTTTATATTTTGTGCCTCCAATTCTCCTCTCCGTTCTGCCACAGAGAAGAGGAAGGGAGAGGAGGGAGGAAGCTAGCAGTGCTTGCTTTCAGTGGGAGCACTAATTTGGAGAATACAATTCCTAAACCATGACAATAGCTCATCTATTCCCTATCCTAACATGCTGCTCTACAGCTGCCTTGAGGAATGCAGTAGTCTTACTGCTGTCATCATAGCCTTTAGGTGTTGTATGATTTTTTTTTTTCTTTAATCTCTGAAGCCAGCCTTGAATTTAATTTGGTATCACTGAAATTACAGCCCCCTAAACCTCCTGCTTTAGTGCAGGAGTGAGTTAATTTGGCATGGATTTGTATCTGTTTTTTTTACTATTGTATCACAGTTGTGATGTAGCATTAAGCTGTGGTATTCAGTTACGCTGTACTGCAGTCCCTGTTCAGCAAAGAATTTGTATTCTCCATTCCATTAGGTTAGAGCTTTTAGTATCATGCCAGTAGAGATGCACATAAGAATGTTCTAGTAAATGTTCCTGGAAATATAAATTCTTTGCACTCACACTACCTACTTTATTAATGGTTCTCTGAAATATGAGAGCTGCTGCAGCTGGGGAGAAATAGAATTTTCTATATTGACGATGTATATAGACGATAGGAGATGACATCATCCTGTCTGTAAGCTCTGTTTTACTTGGGTAGAAATACAGATAAAAGTTTCAAGTAGATTGTGATTAACAGTCTGTTACACATATAATTTTAGGAGAAGATTGTTCTAAGTAAAGCTCAATTGGGATGGGTATTAATTTCTTGGTCAAAGCATGTCATTTTAGTGACTAGCACCATGGCAGAACTTGCCAATTATATGAGGTTTTGTACTGAGAAGATCTGCCAAGCACCCATTCTGTTTATGTGATAAGCCTAGACTTCTTTTATGTGTCAGATATTCAAAAAATGTTTGGTTTTGAATTTCCTTTCTTCCCTTGGCTGTTTAATTAGCAGAATGGTTTCACATGGCGTATTTATTTACCTCAACTATTAAAAGTATTTGCTTGCAAAGTCGCCCCTAATGAAGAATAAAGAGTAACGAATTTTAGAATTATCTATATTAGACTAATTATTAGACCATATTAGACTAATCTTCTTGCACTGGAAAAACACGCTTCTTACCTGAATGCTGCATTGAGAGAAATAAAAATCCCCAAGTTGTAGAAGGAGATGAGAGAGTGGGTGTGAGATTTGTGTTTTATCTTGTTTGGGTATTTTTTTCCCAAACTCTCCTTTTAGTAAAAGCATCAGGAAAAGTACCTAGTACTTGAAGGTTTTGGTTTATGTACTCTATTTGTTTGTGTTAATTCAACCCAAAGTTGGATATATGGCGTAAGATGCTGTAAACAGTCAGTATCAAATATTTGTAAAGAGTTTGGTTCTGGGCTGGTAACTTTTTATGCATTAAGATAATTACCTTCTAAAATTCCAGAGTTCATCTTTAGATGCTGGTATTATGGTCTCAAACCTGCTTTTAGAAATGCAGTCATGTACAAAAGTAGAATTTCACCTGAGTGAACAGTACGGAGAAGATCTCAGTGAAGATGCTTGGCAGTATATATTTGCTGTTGATCTACTCTGCTCTCATATGAAGTGGGATTGGACACATGATAATGTTATAAGGTATTGTGACAATCATGTCTTTCAAATATTTTCCTTTGTGGTTTTTTCTGTGGTTTGTTTTGGTAGTGTTTTTTTGTTTCCCAAATTCATTATGACTTAGCTTTTAACATAATAAAATGTTGCATAGGTATTTAGAAACGAGGATGTTTCAACCTGATGAGACTTAGATTACTGTGTATATGTGCATTATTTTAAGATAGGAGGAATGATCAATGAGGAAATGTAGTATTTTATAGTATTGCCCCAAGAAATGAACCCTGTTAGAGCTAGTCTAGTAAAGATTTGCTTTCAAAATAGCTGTATAAGATTTTAAGATGAATTGTCTGTCAGTGAAGCAAAGTGATTGTCTTCTTCTGAACTTACTTGTTGAATTCCCCTTCCCCCACAGCAGAAAATGAGGGTGGAATTTCTCATATGAAAATAACACTGCTTCTGGGCTGAAAGTGAAATATATCCATACTCATTAATGTATTATCTTGATTTCTGTCTGATTTTAAATTATAATACTTAGAGTCAATATCTTAAATTTTCTTTGAACCTAAAATCCAGGATATGGACTGCTACCATACTTAAGCTTGTTTGAAAGACTCCATTTTGACAGCTACACGGATCTGACAGCCTTGATTTTCTATATAGAGGTTACATGACTTAGAAGACATTTGTTTATCTGTGACATAACATAATAAGTGATACTTATAATCGTCGTCTTGTATATAAATATCATACCTTCATATAGTAAAAAAGGTTTTTCTGTTGAAATACTTTTAAAATTTATACAAATTAGCTTCAGTGAAACATATGTAGTCTTAATTAAAGCCATAGCAATGTGATTGTCTCTGAGTTGTGATGGTAATAGGTAACTAGGTCTATTAGCATAATTTTAAGGATTAAAAAAGCCTTACTTTGGGTCATTTTAGGTTTAAAAATAAGCATCACATCTTACTTGTAACATAAAAACTGAATTTTCAGTAATATAAGAAACTTACAAAACATATCAGCATGACATTTGAAAGCAACACGATTTCATATACATTTGTCAAGTCAGTCTATGTAAAGTTAGTAATAAACAAAAGAGTAATTTGCCTTCATTATTGTATGAATACTATAACCACTCCTTCATGCAGTATGAGATTTTCAAATTCATTTTTCTTTCACAGCAAAGTGCTTTGGCCTTCTATGGATAACTGGATAAAGAAGAGAAAGGGGCATGAAACTGCTCAGTCAATTCATGATAGTGTTATAGCATTGACACTCAGGCTAATTGGTAAGTAATTTAAATTCTTGGTTGAACTTCTATTTTGTATAAGTATGTCTTTATGAAAGTGTCGGGCCTGTCTGGAAAGGGGGTTGAAGTATTATTGAATTTTATTGGATCTTTATGCAGGTATTTTCTGTTCATCAGCCTGTGGAAAGAAGGTACTTAAGTTTTCAGAGATATCATATTGATTCGTGATAAGAGATACCAACATGTTTTATGTATTTAAAATGAAATAATCTGTAGCCACATACAGAATCATAGAAATCCTGAGTTGAAAGGGACACACTAGGTTCATTGAAGTCCAACTCCTACCCTGGACAGGCCAGCCCCAGAAATCACACCATGTGCCTAATGCGTCTTGAAATCAGACACAGATTGGTGCTGTGACCAGTTCCCTGAGGAGCCTGTTCCAGTGCCTAACCAACCTCTGGGTGAAGAACATTTTTCTAATAGCTAACCTAAACCTCCCGTGACACAGCTTCATGCCATATAGTTTCCAGCAAAATGTATAAAATGCGGTTTTTTATGCAACTTAATACCATAATAAATTTAAGTTAGATTAATTTATTTGGGATCTAGGTGGCATTTGGTGTAAATATATATAATTTGAGTTTCAATAAATATTTTCAGTATGTAGGCTATATGACATGGTTTATTGAAAAAAATTGCATTCTTTCTGAGATTTACACTTAAAAATTGTAAAACTATAGGAGGCTGAATCAATCTGATGAAAAATGCCTTGGGGTCTTTAGTTACACAAGGAATAAGATAACTGTTGTTCCCAAGACAACATGGTAACAAGAATTTTTTGTAGTTAAAATTTGCATTTTCTGTTGATACTTCAACAGAGAGCTGGGAAGTATAAAAGCTGGGAAGTTGACTGTCTAAGTAGTCAGATATGTAGTAACTCTTTTTCTTTCAGGTCGATTAGGACAAATAGGTTTGAAGGAAGGCTATCTTGCTGCAGTGAAGAATATTAGTTCAGTAATTGGACTGTTTGTACAGCACGCAAAAGAGGAAGGTAATGTTCTTTTAGAGGAACTTGAGTGTAACGTCCACAATGTGAAGTTTTGAAATGCCAGAATATAAATTAAGGCACACATGGCAAAACAGCCTGTTCTTGCAGTTTTCGTTAGTGTGTAACAGGTGAAGCAGTTTTCAGTTTGAGTCTCTTTCTGTTACAAAGTTAATGAGCTTTTAACAGTATTACCTTCTGTTTGAAACAGAGAAAAATTGTGAGATGGTTTCAGACACCTTGGAATTGGACTATTTCATGTAAGAGCCTGTCAGCTGCATTAGAGATCACTTAAAGGGTGATCAAGTTAAGATCACGTGAAGGGTGATTGTAACTTGAGTTAATTTTTCACCTGAACAATTTATGCTGAATCTTACTAATAAAACTGTTGTATTAGGAGAAAGACAGTTCAAGGTACTGATGAGATGAAACAAGGCAGTTAGAGCAGCAGAAATCCACATTGTTAAGTTACTCTGGATGTTAAGTACATTTTGCAGTGAAGCATTTGTTAATGTTTGGGAGCTGTTTTGAACCACCTGTATAACTTATCTTCTTTGCAATCTCAAGTTCTAACTTGGTAGTGTATGGTGTACAGTGTGTGTCTGTGTTTCAGACGCAGTGTAAACTTGACTGCTTTCTTAACTCTGATTACTCTTAGTGACTAAAGTCACTAGATTCTCAATTCCTGTACGCCCTTTGAGTACTAAAAAGTTGCTGAATTGAGAAAACTGGAAAGCGTTAGTATAAAATGAGATGTTATGAAATTTGTGTGAAGGTTGTCATCTTTCTATGTTACGGTGTTAGGCATCACAACTGTTGATGTGTTTTATTTTCAGTTGTTGAATAATAGTTTCTATAGATTCAAGATTCCCTAAAACATTCTTGCTTGTCAAAAAATTTCTATAAGCTGATTTCTGTTAACGTTTTGCAGCTGTTCCTTGGGGTGTGCAGCTGGCAGCCGTATATTCACTATGTGACTTGGGTACAAGCAATCCAGAAGGTATTGTTGAGGCCATCCATGCTTGGAGAGCAAAAGTTCCTAACAACATCCCTTCTGCTATCACAAATGGCATAGCTGAAATCACCTCGCTGTGTGAAATGGAGCTAAACTAAAAAGTAGGGAAGTGGACTGATATAAAGGAAGAAGTGCCTTACCAATAAAGCAGTAGTTGGTTCCAGTTAAAAACCATACAATGTGGTGTGTCTTCTTGTATTTCATGCTTTTAATCAGAATGTCTGATCATGCAAAGCAAGGTCAAATATTTTATCTGGCTTTTCTGTTTGAAGGAAGAGTTTTTAAAAAAAATAAACAAAAATATTTGCTTTTCCTAGTAGCTGATTAGTGATCTGGAAGTGAGTGCATCTTGAACTCCTGAAATATTTCTGGTTTTATGACAATAGAAATCAGTAACAGTTTTCATTTTTCTACCTACATCAGTTTGGAGTGTGAACTATTTGACAGAATATTCAGCATGACTTGAAAACCTGGTTCTATTATTTTGTACTATTTTTATAAAGTAACCATTCAGATTGCAGAACATTTCCCACATTCTGCTGTATTTTGTTTGGGTTGTCTTATAAACTTAATTTAAAATACTTGTGAAAAACAGGTAGGAATTGACTTTTTGTGTAGCCATCATGTATGAAGTAACAGATACTAAATCTCTAAACTTGTATATACGGTGTATTCTGACATATCTCAAATTTGATATTGTTCCACTTGGAGAATTTTGTGTATGTAAATAGAGAGTTGGCTCAACAAAAGTTCATGTTTCTAATGATAGCTTCGCTACACTCTGTTTTTGTGTCTTTCATAATAAAAGAGACAAATACCATTGTGTTCTTGTTGTCCTTTTAAATAACCCAGAGTTAACTGTGTTTCTAGCTTATATAAATACTGTTTTGGGGGGCAGCAGGAAATTACCAGTTGAGATAATTTCACTGAATGAATTGTCCATAACATTGCAGTTATTGACATCTCTCCAAAAGTTTCTGGTATGCTTTGGAGGCTTGAGAAGTAGCTTTAAAAAACTATTGAAAATTTGCATTTTCACCTGTGGTTGTGCCCATGTGAAGGGATGAGCTTTGCTAATGCAGATTCTTATTGTAATGGGACCTAGCTTCTGACAAACTTTTGTGGTCTTAATATGCATTGTGATTTTTGTGCCTCTTCTAAATATGACTACCAGTGCACTCTCCTAGCCCTCTGTGAGTTTCTGTCCTCTGAGGTGAAACTGTGTAGAGCAAAGCGGCCATTGATTTCAGTTGCACCTATAGCTGCTTGCACTCTGGACATCAAATTGACCTTGGTGAGCTTACCACAGACAATTCAGTCAATGAAAAATAATCTAGTAGTATTGGTGATACCTGTGCACAATAGGCATTGCTACAGATGTCTATCATGAAGGCTTCCAGTAGGGATTCATATAAATTAATTTGCCTCAGGTTGAAGCTGTATGATGTCTGAGACTCTGAGCATTTTGGTGATTGTGAAGCCTTTGGGGATTTTATGTGTAGCCTTCATTTATCCTTCTTGCACTAAAATGAGCACAAAATATCTGAAGTGGAAGAAGTCAAAAGAAAGCACAGGTTGAAAATAAAAGAAATATGGATCATAAATCTGAAAACTAAAGGAAATGGGAAACAGAACAACTAAAAAAAGCAAAGAAAGAAACAAAGTGAGTAGAGGATCAAAGATGCTTCAGTAAAAAATATTGCAACCCAAAAATCTTCACAGCAAATAGAAAAACCTATTTCCTTCAGAATTTGTATATAAAACACTGTCATTTGAATATGTGAGATTCACAAGAGAAAAACCAGACTTTTTCAATGCAAAAAAATCTAAAACTATACCAACTTGGAAAATCAAATGAAAAAAATAATTTCAACCTACCCTCAAACCATTTTCATGAAAAATATTCTGCTCATGTAAGTGAAAGAAAAAAATTTGTGTGTACTGGAAACATAAAACTGATTTTAATTCTGTGTTCCTCTCTACTGCCCAATCAAACTGCATTGGAATAAGTAAAATTAGAATCATTAATACCCTGAAGGTGTTTGCTTCTGTTAAATACTAATCACTCATCATTCATTAAAAAATACTTTTAACTCCCACACACAGTGTCAAATTTACCATATTTTAAAAGCTATAAAATGTTGATATCCATAAAGGATAGTAATTTTCAGTATATGGAATGCTTTATTGATCTCAATATCTGTTCCAAATACTAAAGTCCCATTTAGTTCAAAATAGCCATTAAAACAGGGATTTACAGGTTTCCATCATCATTTGCAGATTTTTGCCTTTCTCTCCTTTTTTAAATTTTTTTTTTTTTTTTTTTTTTTTTTTTTTTTTTTTTTTTTGTTCTCACACAAATACCGAGCATGTGGCTTGTCAAAAACTATGTGTATCAGGAAATGTTCAAGTCTGCACTTCCTCCATGCCTTCTCATATTCCTAAATTAAAACATGAAAACTGCTAAGACATTATTGTCAACAGCCTAAGGCTAGACAGAATGCTAACAGTCAAAATTCATGTCAGATTAAAATACTCAGCTCTAGCAGTTCTCCTGACTCAAATACAGGAGACAATAAACATGTATAATAGTTTATTTATAAGGGTAATTCTCACTATAGGCTTTTGAGTTCATAGTGGTATTATTTGATATTTGAAAAATCCCTGACATGTATTGACTCCAGGAAAAGAAACTTGTCATAAATATTGGAGAGCAGTGTAACTTTGTCTATGTGTAGATGAACAGGATGCTGGAATAAGTTGTTAAAGGAAAAATTTTATTTATCTATTTTTCTTGTTTAGTTGCTTTCATACTAAAAGTTATTTTTAGAGTGTCTGAATACTAACGTTATACTGGTAGAATTATTTGATTATTTACTCAGTCATCCCTTGCTGGAATACAAATTTTGGACATACATACCTTTTATTTAACTTTTTTTCTACAAAAAGTAGCATCTTTGGGCTAGACTATGTGTTATGCCACTGGGGTATTTTCCAGGATGATTTTGACTCTCTAGGTATAGTACGAAATATTTTTGAGTGTGAATTATTTCTTCATAAAATAAAAAATTGTTGGACTCTAGACTGCTTAAAATTAATCTCTAGTTATTTTATCAAACCTTCTGAAACTGATGTATGGTCTGTCCTAGCTTCTGCTTTCACCTGTCTGTTTTGAACAAAAAGGTTTTCTGATCTGGACACTAGAATAAGACCAAACCTGTTGTGAGTTTTCCAGTTTGAAATGACTAATGAAATTACATGCTGTACTCTGTTGTAATTGATGAAACTGCATGTATGAGTGGAAACCAGTCAAGAAAACCTGAAGATTGGTTATAAAGAAGCTGAAATTAAGTGGTTAAAACACTTTGGAATATCACCATTTAGCTTACATTCTTCCCACTATACCTTATTTTTCACTTCAAGAAAAGTCAGAGACTACTGTCAAAAGATGGACAAATTAGCAAGAAGGATTTCTTCAGAGACAGGCTTTGCAATTACACTGTTACTGGCCTGAATAGGCTGAAGTCTTGTTTTGCAAAATTCTGAACCTGGTTGAACTGTTTAGGGGTTTACAAATCCATGAAATGTTAATGATTTTGGGTGCTCTGAGCCATCTATTGCATTCAATTTAATGCAACTCACATTACGAAATTACTTTTTGGACTATTTAAGTTGAAATTTTGAAAAAAACATTCTGAAGATTAATAAAACAAATAGGTAGGTAATGGGAGTTAGAAAGAAAATTAAGATATTTATGCAAATTACCTGGGTTTTGATTATTTTCTATTTTAGTCTCAAATGGCTCAAATTCCTTCAGCTGCCACGTCATCCTAGAGATGTCTAAATGTTTGCTACTGAAAATGGCCTGAGTTTTCTAAGTAAAACCTGCATCTTGTTGCCATGCTTTGACTAGAACAGAATTCTGACATGGTTTAAGCATCAAGTAGGAGAAAGCCGAGCACTTGGCGCAACTTGTCTCCTTGGGCTTCACATACAGTCACAAGCCTGTCTCCAAAAAGCTTTTGATGATCACAGAATTGTCGGAATTTTTGATGATCACAGAATTGTCCTGGAATTCCTCTGGCTGCCCTGGATGGCTCAAGCCCCTGGCAGGGGGGCTCAGAGACCTTGGCATGGAGTCATAGACACCTGTGCCTTTGATTTTAACCCATGGAGAAAATTACCAGCTTTGTGTGAAGATTTACAAGCCACAAGAGTTTAAGTAGAATGATAGTTAGTTTGTCACAGGGTGAAAAGGTAGAATTTTGGGGTTTTTAGAATGGGGGTTCAGGAGGCAAGATGGAGGGATTTGGGTGTGCCCTGCCCTTCCTCTTTCTCCTTCTTAGCCTCCATCTTCTGTGTGATGGTGGCACTTTAAATTGGTTTAGAGTAGAGACAGACTGTCTAACATAGATTATAGGTATTGAAAAATTATTGCAAATAAAGTACACATAGTTCTTAGTATAAAATGTTAACACCACCCCAAGTCAGTGCGCCATGAACCGACCTGTTGGACAGACCTCAGTGGGTCAGAAAAATAATGTATTAGAGAAGAGAAAATAAGCACCTTGAAATCCAGAGACAAGGAATCCTGACTCCTTCTTCAATCACGGGGCTGGGAAAAAGAGACTTTCTAACATCTCGGGGTCATCTCGACCGCAGAGACTCCGACACAGAATCACAGAATGAAAAGGTTGGAAAATACTTTTAAGATTATCTAGTTCAACCTATGACCTTACACCTCCTCATCAACCAATAAGTGCCATCTCCAGTCTTTTTTAAACATGTCCAGGGACAGTGACTCCACCATCTCCCTGGACAGACAACTCCAGCACGTAATCAGTCACTCTTTCAGTGAGGAATTTCTAACATCTAACCTAAACTTACCTTGGTGCAGCTTATGACTGTCCACACATTCTGTCAGTTGTTGCCTGGGAGAAGAGACTGATCCTCACTTGACTACAATCACCTTTCAGGAAGTTGTAGAGAGTGATGAGGTGTCTTGGGTTGGCTATATAATGCCAACCCAGTATCCCCAGTTGTCTGTTCTGTTTATGCTGGATAATAAGTTTTGCACCTTTAAGACTGGTTCTGAGAGTGAAGGAGGGGAGAGAAGAAGCACGGAGTTTGTTTTCAGACACTGTACTCACTCCTCCATATTACTGTGGCTGGACTGTGTTGTCTGCAGATGGACAGACAGCAGGACAGAGCTCTCCTTTGCTTTTAGTTAGTTTTAGCTAGCTGAGGCAGCGAAGTTCCCTGGACTGTGGTTTGTCTTTTCTTTGGACCCGTTTAAACCTGCTCTGGTCAGAACACCCAGAGGAGCACTGGCAGCTCACACCTGTGGCCCAGGGGGCCGGGCCTGGGCCGCGGCATTTCCAGCACCAGAGGGACTGATCAGAGACTGAGTGAGCCGAGCTACAGCCCATGAAGGGGACTTCTCTGAGTTTGTCATTTCTTTTGAAGCGGCAAGAAGTTTTATTGTTGAATATGTTCATTTTTTTGTACTAGTAAATGCTTTGCCTGTTAAATAAACAGCTTTTTCCACTTTTCTCCAAAGAAATTTTTTTCCCAAACCAGTTGGGGGATGGCCTGCTTGAATTTGCTTTTTAGAGGAAACTCCTTTAGGGGTTTTTCTCCCAAAATTGCCCAATTGCCTAACCCTAAGCCAAGACAAATACAATTATTTGTGGGGCTCCAGAAAATGTACTGTACTGATTGCATTTTAGTGGTACTTACTCTATATTGTGATAAAGCAGTCAGTAACCATGTTGCTGAAATTCATAATGTCTGTCAGGATGGAGGCCTTCAT